TCAATTTCCTCGACCGGATTTTTTGCCCGAAAATGTTTTTGAGGGTTTTTGTAGTTTTACAAGAATACAAAAATACCGTGACAAAACGATGGATTTAAGTACAAAATAAGATTTAGGTTGATCACACTACTCCTACAAGCATTAAATTAAACGCAAACTATTGTGAAATCATCAACATATCCTAAACATCAATGGAAAGTCACTCGACAGTTCAGAGCCATTACATTAAGTCAATGGCTTAACTATAGTTGTAGAATCATCTCCACTTAGCTTGCTTGCTTAAGTTTCCTGAACAAAATCATTAGAAATTTTAAAGCCGGGGAAAAGGGAAGGGGGCGAGCGAGAGTGGTGTCTTATGCACTGAAAAAGTCTACCTTATGCCGGGAATTTCTCCAACCTCCAGTGCCTTGTGAGTAGCATGCCCATCTGAAAGGAGTAGCAGCAAAGATCTGTGATGACTTCCGACACCATTTAGCACCTTATTCGGTCCAATTTCTACGATCTTCTTGATCTGCACCAGATATGTTTTGCTGAACTGCGATCATATTAAGAGGGAAGCACAGGTTGCTTTACAAATAAAAGAAAAACTTCTCGGTTTTGTATCCCAGTAGAACTACGGACACCGCTGGAAAAACTACTCTCAGTGGATGACATGGGTTTCAAGAGAAACACAAGGCGTCTGTTGCAAGCAAGAGATACAGCCAATTGAATACACTTTTTAAGAATGAATTCGCTCGAAAATCTCGTTGGGCTCGTAAAAAAAGTCTGGTGTCCACTCCTTGGCGCGCAACCTGCGTGGTTTGTAACACGCTTTTTCAAATTTACCGCCTATGCGCGCAGCTTTTTTTGGTGGCTGGCAGTCAGGCTTGCCCGAAGAGAAATCTAATCTAAATAAACAAACAATCATGGAAACTGTTATAAACTCTCAGTGTGGGAGATTTCAATTGATTCGAAGCTTTAGTTTTTGCAAAGTCAAGAAAGTCAAGAGAGAAAAAGGAAACAATTGCTCGAAAACAAATGAAATCATACAATAAAAAACGTTAAATAAGTGTTTGTTTACTTTGGGTTGTAATTTCTTACTTTTCTGCCTGTCTAGACCTGGTCGGTGATGACTGAGTAAACTGCCCGCAGACGCAGGAAACTGGAAAAAGCGTGTTACAAACTAAACACATTGCGCTGCAAGGAGCAAATTTCAACCTTTTTTTTTTTTCTTTATGTGCCCAACGTAGTTTTTGAGCGAATCTCCCTTTGGGAGTGTATTCAGAGGGCTGTATCTCTTGCATGCCACAGACGCATTATCTGAGTTTCAATTTTTAAGACATTTCACTATATTTATTCACAGCAGAGAGCTTGCGAAAGCATTTTCATGTCCAAGAAGATACCCTTAAATGAGCCTCCAGTCCTGTGCGGGTGATTGCTTCGAATCGGCCGCGCTACTCAGAGCTCACAGAGTTGCCGCTCTGAGGAAGTTTCCAATTCCATTTGCTCTGAGTTTCCGCTGTCTTGGGGAATTATTCAATATTGAGGCATAATTTAAGGAAAAAACATACGCTTCGCTTACAGCCATTTTGCACTAGTGAGATCATTTAAATTTAATATCTTTTGTAGGCCCTACAGATATTGAAGAAAAATATTCGCACAGCACATCACACTACGCTACACTACTAAGTGAATTAAAAAGAAAATAGAATTTTACTTTGACTTGCAAAGGGGTGGGTGAATTCAAATGAATCACTAAATACGAAAAGGGCACATGTCCAGAAAACCAAATTGTTCGGGAGACACAAAAAACTGTTTATTTCGTGGTAGATATTTTTTTAAACATCGCTCTGCTTCGCCCCGCGCCGGTTTTTTTAAACATAACGACTTTCCAAAAAATATCTACCACGAAATAAACAGTTTTTTGTATCTCCTGAACAATTTGGTTTTCTGGACACGTGCCTTTTTTGTATTTAGTGATTCAAATAAGGGTCCAATTCCAGGTCGTATTTCCTCTCAAAATTTTTTTTTTGTGAATTTTTGGACAAACCAAACTTTATTTTAACTATCATTAGGTGTAGAATTAGGAAATACAGCTCGTTGAGCTTAATAGTTGGGCTTAAACCTGAATTTTCACCGTCAAGTGTATCACTTCCCAAACACAGTGGGTTTTAACTAAATCTAATTAAGAAAATGAAAGTCCCCATATCTGAAAGCGGAAAAGTACAGCGAAACACATCAGGAATACATCCCCGCTGAAAAGAAAATCATTCGCTGGGCCGTTTTTTTTAGTGCCCCCCTAAGCCAAAATGGCGGCCGATATGCGCCGCCGCGGGGTGCAAATGTTACATCTCCCTCACAATGTCAAGTGACACATCGATTCCTATGTAATTTTGGTCGTAGAATCCGAATATGAGGTCAGAAATCCCTCACGACTAAATGGGATTGCGCAAATTCAAGATGGCGGCCAAAAATAGGCCCCGGAGTAAAAATTCTCAATGAACCACTCGACAAGGTACGAATTTCAGCATTCTGATACATGTTTCTTAACCAAAATTTCACGTAGAACACGATGCGTACAACGAAAATTACCGAAATCAACTCCTTACGAAGATATTCAATGATTCTTGATGCGTGAATTCAAACCATCCGCTCATGAAAACTCAATGCTCCATGTGATTCACATCGCGCGCTAAACGTTATCATGACAGTATCTGCGATTTAAAAATCTGGCAACCTCAATTTTAACGCTTTGGTTCAGCTACAGCAAATTGCTTATAGTTTGAACAATACATGGTGGGAAATGAACATCGCTGGACTGAGAAGCTTTCTGAAACCGTTGTAGTGCGCGATTCGACTCACGTAGAGCTTCGAGTTTCTTGCGAGCGGGTAGTTCAAATTCCTCGTAACCAATGTGTAATAAAAACGGTACTATCTTTGTTAAGAGTTGGTTTCAGTAATATTCGTTGTGTGAATCGTGTTTTTCGTGAAATTCTGGTTAAGAAAATGTATTAGATGGCTTAAATTCGTACCTTGTCTAGTGGTACATTCCAGCTTCTGGTGACGAGTGAGATGTTTTTTTTTTATGTTTTTTGGGTCATAGGATCCAAATTTGAGGTCAAAAATTGCCTTCTGGCCGACAGGGATCCCTCAAATCCATAATGGCTTCCATTTTGGGGCTGACATATTATTTCCGAAAGACGCGTATAGTCGAGTGAGGTGTCTTTTTACATGTTTTTTGGACCACATGATCAGAAACTGGGATCCAAACTGTGTCCCTGTGGGCCGGAAGGTAAGATTTGTCCCTTAGCACCTTGATTGTAACGTTTTTATCAACTATTTAAATAAAAACTCAGAATTTCACTGTTAGAACGGCGCCAACCACACCAAGAATGCTCTATTCTTACAAATAATGTTTGACCTTTTTGCCTAGCAGGGGCTATAGTCCCCTGCTTCACAAAAAAACTAGCGCAAGAGAAATAGGAACAAAACAAAAATAATCTTCTTTTCGAGAAAATATAAATGAATTCAAGAAAAATGCCAGCCGGAGTACAAATTAATTGTATACACAGCTAGTAAATAAAACTAGATTCTTCTGCTGTTAAATTCACATACAGCTTTAAGGAAATTTCTTTCGTAATCTGGATGAGATTTCTGTACTTTATGAAACTCGGTACTCTTCGGTACTTCGGTGTGTGAATTCAACAGCAGAAGAATCTAGTTTTATTTACTAGCTATGTATACAATTAATTTGTACTCCGGCTGTCATTTTTCTTGAATTCATATATATTTTCTTGAAAAGAAGATTATTTTTGTTTTGTTCCTATTTCTCTTGCGCTAGTTTTTTTGTGAAGCAGGGGACTATAGCCCCTGCTAGGCAAAAAGGTCAAACATTATTCGTAAAAATAGGGCATTCTTGGTGTGGTTGGCGCCGTTCTAACAGTGAAATTCTGAGTTTTTATTTAAATAGTTGATAAAAACGTTACAATCAAGGTGCTAAGGGACAAATCTTACCTTCCGGCCCACAGGGACACAGTTTGGATCCCAATTTCTGATCATGTGGTCCAAAAAACATGTAAAAAGACGCCTCACTCGACTATACGCGTCTTTCGGCAATAATATGTCAGCCCCAAAATGGCTTCCATTTTGGATTTGAGGGATCCCTGTCGACCAGAAGGGAATTTTTGACCTTAAATTTGGATCCTATGACCCAAAAAACAAAAAAAAAGACATCTCACTCGTCACCAAAAGCTGAAATTGAGAATTTTTACTCCGGGGCCTATTTTTGGCCGCCATCTTGAACTTGCGCAATTCCTTTTAGTCGTGAGGGATTTCTGACCTCATATTCGGATTCTACGACCAAAATTACATAGGAATCGATGTGTCACTTGACATTGTGAGGGAGTTGTAACATTTGCACCCCGCGGCGGCGCATATCGGCCGCCATTTTGGCTTGGGGGGGCAAAAAAAAAAACGGCCCAGCGAATGATTTTCTTTTCAGCGGGGATGTTTTCCTGAGGTGTTTCGCTGTACTTTTCCGCTTTCAGATATGGGGACTTTCATTTTCTTATTTAGATTTAGTTAAAACCCACTGTGACTAGACCCTTCCACACATCCACTCTGCAGAATGAATCATGGTCAATGTCAAAGTTGCGGGCCAATGGAGCAAAGTGAGACAGGGCAGCTAATTTATTAATTTTAAGAATAAAAAAAAAAAAAAAAAAAAAAAAAAAAAAAAAAAAAAAAAACTTTAAGGAGGACGAATGTCCTATCTGTCTCACTCAAGTTGGTGTTGATCTTTCAGACTGTTCAGACGTGTTTTGTAGTGCGCTCGTGAGACAGAAAAACGTTTTGTAGTGCGCTCGTGAGACGGAAAAGCATTTGTTCGGCTCGCGGTCCGCGCATCGCTGCGCACACCGACATGACAGCGCGTTAAAATAAGTTGAGAGCGGTTACGGCTGTAATTTCCATGTCGCTGTTGCCGTACAAGGGTAAACATGACGTCAATTGTTCTGGGATGGACAACCAGTTCATTGGTTGTCAAAAATCTAGGTCGATAGACCTACACGGAGCTCCTGGAAGGGGATTAGCTCGAAGTTGGTCCTGACTTAAAAATTTGAACTGGAATAACAAGAAAAGCACCACTAGATACTAAAAACCACAATTTCGAAATCGGTTAATGGAGCTCCTGGAAAAATAATCGCGATTTTATGGTTTTTTTAAGGCTTTTTTTTCGGAAAATAGGCTCATGTAGGGCAACTAAATTCCCCCTCTGCCCATACACATGTGATACGATACGCTATCAGTTAGTGCAGAATGGACGCTGCCAAAGTGAATGAAAAAAACCAGCATTTGCAGTTCCAGCAAGATGCAGCATTGGTATATTCATGCGGAATAAAAGTAGTAAAACGGCAACACGGCAATCTTCCAGTTTTGAAGGGGCAAATTATTGAAACGTTTCGTAAAATTACTCATAAATAAGAACAATTCTGCAAGGTATCCCACTCAAACGCTATCATTTTATGGTCAAATCCATAATTTTGAAGTTCGAAACTTGGCAACGTCGAAACGAGGGTAAAGAAATTATCAAGTCATGAAAATTTCAGAGAATTTGCTACTTATACGGAAGAATAACATACTAAAAATTCAGATCAATTCATTAAGACATGGGCCCATGCCATCGTTTTACATCCAATCCCAAAATTTTCAAGCTGAAAACTTGGCAACGTTGTAACGAGAGGAAAAAATATTTTCCGGCCATAAAAATTTCAGTAATTTTTTACCTCATATCGGAGGAGAACACACCAAAAATTCAGACCAATCCAAGAAGCAAGGGGCCAGTGTCACACTTTCATTCGGAAAATCCATAATTTTGAAGTTTGAAACTTTGCAACGTTGTAACGGGAGCAAAAAAAATTTTTCGGATCACGAAAATTTCAGGAAAGGCGTACTTCATACCAGAGAATAACATGCTAAAAATTCAGATCAATCCAAGAAGAAATGGGGCAGAGGGGGAATTTAGTTGCCCTACATGAGCCTATTTTCCGAAAAAAAAGCCTTAAAAAAACCATAAAATCGCGATTATTTTTCTAGGAGCTCCATTAACCGATTTCGAAATTGTGGTTTTTAGTATCTAGTGGTGCTTTTCTTGATATTCCAGTTCAAATTTTGAGGGATTTTCACATGAATGAGAAAAATTATGTCGATATTAACAATGGCGTCATCTTAGAATTTTATTGACTCTTCAGGAACTCTTGTTTAGAGGACTGAGGACTTGGCAGTGTCATGTTTACACTGATTGGATTTTGACAAACACTGTTAGAGCTGCTTTTGTTTAGTCAAAATAAGCTTTGACATCTTCCACACTTTGACATTAAACTAACGATTTTCAGTTGTACTTACATCACCATTGAGTTTGTCTGGATAGACTCCAGGTATGACAACCTCTTTCAGATCCACCTGTGACCAGATAAAGTTCAGTATTGAAACAAAGTAGTACTTAAACTCCAATCTGATAATAGAACATAAACTGAAGTATTATCATCAATGACAGGCTAAGTGCCAAAAAGTTGATTTCGAGTTATTCATATTTTAACTTCTAAAATCTGCCTCAGAACATGGTACTAATGCTATATTTTGGACGTTCAAAAGCGACAAAAATTTTTTACAGTTCTTGACTTGATGTGATAAGTGTCTCCTTTGTAGCAAAATCCTTAAAAGTCATTGATTGATCAATCATAATAATTTTTTAAAAATAGTTTGTTCACATAAATGTGGTGTGTAATGGTATGAGTCGCCTGGCCTTGTTTTGTAAGATCTCACGAGAAAACGATAAATCAAGTTCCCTTCAGTAGAGGCATTTAAACGCAAAAGGTTTCCATGATTGAATTAATCACCTAACAGGGTGAAAAATGAACTAAATTTTGCGATGAAGACAGCTGTATCGGGCTCAAAGACGATGACACTTATTATCATCAGCGATCTAATAGCATAGATGTTGTACTTTAAATGAGCTAGAAATGGTACTGCATTACTGCAAGATGTATTTCAGATGTAGCCCACAAGGGTATCACAAAAAATAGCTTTTCATTAAAGTTTTATGTAAAAGGCATTGGATACAAAAGACATTTCAGTAATCATCTCTTGAAAGATCAATTAGAAATAATTGTTCACACTGAAATCGGTAGATTCAAGCCACCTGCTTATAAAAGCCAAAATTAACGGACAAAGGTTGAGTTAGACAGACCAAATGAGGGGCTTGGAGGGCACGGTGCTTAATTGCAGTTACGTTGCTATTTCAAGAAATACATTTTTGAAGTTTCAAAAATTGCATGGAGCCTCATGGTGGAGAGAAAGATAAACTCACTTTTATATGCTTGAAAGCTGGATTTTACTTGTGAATTTTTCACAGAACATTCTTTCAAACTAGTTTTAGTTGAGTTCATGAACATCTCAATTTTTTCAAAAACTGCACTTATGCGCCTTGATGCTCAGCCCCTCAAATGTATTGTTCTGCATATACAGGATATAAGCTTCCTTAAGTTTTAGAATTCCCTGACTCTTCTCTAATTTTTCGGAGCTTCATGACTAGAAACTTTCTAATCATTCAAGGATGTTCGGAATAGGACCACAGTTTCCCTGGAAATTTAAGTGCTGGGAACAGGAGAGTTCCCAGGAGTGGGTGGTTTTGTGAAAAAGAGGACATATTTGAGGTTGTCATATTGATCGCGGTCCAAATCATGCGAAAATCGCTGATGTTCGTATTTTGTTACATGCCTCATAACACTGTACAACAAACCAAAATGAAAAAATGTCCCCTGGACGACATAAGGTGATCTTTATGCATTTTGAGACGCTGAATCTGAATATGACCTTCATTTTTTCCATCACCCTCCAATTTTCCGAAAAAGCCGATTTTACTCGAATAATTTAAGTACTTTTCCAACTGTTACCCCCCCCCCCCCCCGCAGAATGTAGGCAAAATCTTTCTCAGCTACGAGATACAATTTTTCCGATCTATCAAGAGCCACTGAGTCCGAAAATGACTTTTATTTGGATTGCATTTTGCAAAAAGGAACCACTAGCATTGCAATGTTGCTAAGATTGTGCAACTTCTTTTGTCTTGGAGGAAAAACCCGATTATCCATTAATAGTTTCTATTTTACTCGCTAAAAACTGTAAATTTAAGACAAAAATTACCATCTAAATTTCATAGTTTTTCACGATTTCCGCAATTTTATTGCAAAATATGAAGTTGCACAATCTTAGCATAATTGCATTGCTAGTGGCTCCTTTTTGCAAAATGCAATCCATTTTTCCCGTTCACCTCTCAGGTTTCCGGTAAAGCGATTATTTCCCGGGGAAATGAGTAAAGGGGTACGTGAAAAACGGGCCATTTGGGGCTCTAGGCAGATACCTTTGCGACTTGCCCTATTCATTCATCAAACAATGCCCCATCTTTTCCCAAAGTTTCAAGCCCCCTAAAAATTTTGGGGAGACGCGGCGGGGGGTCAAAGTTAAAAATCAGCAACATTTTCGCGAATTTGTTGCTCGAAAACCGAGAAGTTTTGAAGAACGCGGTTTAAACGAGCGTTTCCAGCGTGACGAGATCTTTCAGAAAATTTAAAACATCATAGGGTTTAGTCGACTTCAGCTCGAGTTATCATCCCCAAAGCGGCGGAACGCTAAAAGAAGACCCCATTTTTTTTCACGCCCGCGCCGATTTCAAAAAAGCCATTTTTTTTATAAAACTGATATGTTGTTCCTGACTCTCTGTAACCCCTCTAGCTTCTTAGCGTATATCCTGAGGAAATGTTTTGGTCGCGAGTTAGAAGAGCGGAAAGGAGCGAAGGTCGGGAAAATCGGCTATTTTAAACTGCGCGCGGCGACGGACCAGACGACACGTCGACACATGGCAACAATACGAGTTTGGCCGAAGAGTGTGATTTGCAGAACTGAGTGGGAGAGGACGTTTTCCTTCCGATCACCTCCGCACGCACAGTTTAAAATGGCCGATTTTCCCGACCTTCGCTCCTTTCCGCTCTTACAACTCGCGACCAAAACATTTCCCCAGCATACGGTAAAAAGCTTAAGGGGCTACAGAGAGTCAGAAATAATATATCAGTTTTTCATTAAAATAAAAAATTGGGTTTTTTTTTTTTTTAAAATCGGCGCAGACGTGAAAAAAATGGGGTCTTCTTTCAGCGTTCCGCCGCTTTGGAGGCGATAAATCGATCTGAAGTCGACTAAACATTATGATACTACAAATGTTCTGGAAGCTCTCGTCACGCTGGAAACGCTCGTTTAAACCGCGTCTTTCAAAACTTCTCCCCCGTTTTGTACGTACCCCTTTGACGTATACTTGTCGTGAATGCAATTTATTTTTATATAAATTTGCCTGGACCCGTGGTAGTGTGTTACTATTATGTTTTAAACTGCTGAATCTGAATACGACCTAGGTTTCTTTCTATCACCCTCCAGATTTCCAGTGAAGCCTATTTTTCCGAGCCTAAAATTGTGAAAAACCTTTCCTAAACTTAAAGTGTATTAAAAATACATTTTAAAAATGTCTCCGATGTGTGATAGATACATCGATTCATTTATATTTTGAACTGTTGAATTCAAATATGATCTTAGAATTTTCCTATCACCCATCCTTTTCCCGGAAAAGTCGCTTTCCCTACGAAAACGCTATCTATCGGTATTTTTTGATGATTTTCCTGTTCTAAGGATTTTCAGGAATTTACCGAGATACTCTATTGGTGTCTCCTACTGTATTAAGAGACACTAACCTCGAATTTTACCTTCACTCATTTTTGACAAGCCCCCGTTTTCTAAATGGTCCGATTTTTCCGGGCCAACAGCTTTTCCGAGCTGTTTCCACTTCCAAGGAAATTCATAACATTTTCTCGATGTGTGATACATCGATTCTCGTGTAATTTAAGCTGATAAACCCGAATATAATCTCAGAAATTTGTTAACACCCACCATTTTTAGGGAAAACCCAATTTCCTGGGAAAATAGTCGCAAAAGTACCAAAAAAAACCTCGTTCTCCAAGAAAAATCGTCTTTTCTGGAAAAATCGAGTGCGATGTGAGATATTTAGATAAGGAGCTTAACTCTCTATCTAAATTGCGCTCATTAACTTTTTTGATAAACTTATCGATTTGATCTGTGGGCTTGCAAGGAGCCTCAGCTCAGCGAGAGCGAGGACTCTGGTCGAGAGCCTCGGCTCGACCACAAATCTCTCTCTTGTTTTCTGGACTCTGGACTTTGCTGGACTTACGATTATTGGAACATTGGAAACCCCGGACATCTTTGGTGAATCGTCGAAAGACCTTTCTTTTTTCTTTCTGATATCTTGTCATTTTAGACGATTTCAATATTTTTTTCAAAATTCGTTAATTTCACCTTTTTCAAAATTTTCTTAAAATTTTCTAATTAATAAATTTGTAAAACGCCAATCTTCTTGTATTTTTTTAACTTGAAATAATCCCGATCGTAAAAACCGTAAAAAGCATGAATGTTTGAATTTTTAAATTTTTATTTTTAATCGGTTTTCTGATTCTGCTCTCCCGCTGCATTTCAGCAGGTATAATTGTCCAAATACTTGGATTTTCACTTTAAGGGTGAATTTCAGGGTATTTCGTCAATTATATCTTACAACCGCTCCTCCAGTGATAATACTTGATTCCATGTAAGAGTATAAGTCGTAAAGTTATAAAATTACGCCTTATATGGAATCGGGTTTATCTCTGAAGGAAGGATGACCATCCCAATGAGACTTATTTCTCCATTGTAAATGGTGGTCATCACAGATGATAAAACTAGAAAATATCGTATCTCAACTGCGGTGTTTCAAAATTTTGGCTCTTTTATTATCTCTAGGAATGAGAAAGAGTTGATCCTATTATACTATAAATTTTTCCAGAATATACTTCATGAAATGAAGAAAATCCAGAAAAAGTTAAGAAAAAGACATGGGATAGTATTTCATTTTTTTGAGAGACCAAATCATCTCTAAAGAGAATAAAATTCGGGTTAAAATAAGCGAAATGAAGCAAATACATTTTGGGAACTTGCAAGGATGTATTGTCACACGCATTGTCATAGATTCTGCAGGTTGCCAAACTTATTAGCTTCATAAGGCTAGAAATCCTCAATCGAATTTTGAGGACCTTTATCCAGCTTTACTTTGGGGAAAGTTGCGATAAAGGGTAAAAAAATACGCTACGTCGATTCATATATGGCGTACATACCCTAAGACTTTTATAGAATAATTTTACAGCGACCTTGCCAATTGGTTAGTCACTGAGGCACAGTGGCGTGCGGTGGGTTCAGAGACAGGGCAAGCTCTAGCATTCGTCATCCGGGGGGGGGGGGGGGGGGTTTAACGTAGCCTCTTTCCCTTCCCCCTCCCCCCAACCTCCCTAGAAAATTCTTAAAATTTTACTCTATTT